AAGGAAGGAAGGAAGGAAGGAAGGAAGGAAGGAAGGAAGGAAGGAAGGAAGGAAGGAAAGAAAAAAACTTATCCCAAGGAGAAAGACAATACGGGATGCAAAGAAAAGAGGCTAACCCTGTAAGAGCCTCAAAGGGGGGCCAGGAAGGCTTAAATTTATTCTTCATTAAAGAAGTGAACAAGGTGGTAGGCCAGAGAAAAAGAGCACAGTATCTTCTGGATAGAAAAGAAGGGACAGTCCCAAGATGGAGGAGCAGGAGGCCTTTTGGCTAGAGGAGGAGGGAGAAGCAAACTCAGGAATGGAGGAAGAAGAAAAGATAGAGGGAGGAGAAAACTCAGAGACAGAAGAGGAAGGAGAAGGAAACTCTGAGATGGAGGATGAGCAGGGGGAAGATGAAAATTCAGGAATGGAAGAAGAGGACGAGGAGAACGAGCAGGATGGAGAAGGAAACCCGCACACAGAGGGAGGGGAGGTTGCAGTGTGGTACAAAGAGCTTGCCTACCCTTATTCAGTTGGGGAAGAGGAAAAGTTGAAGCTATAGGGGGCACGCAACACCGAGGAAGAAAACAGTTGCTTCTGGAGGTCAAAGAATTGAGTTGCCCTGTCTAACCTTGCAGTTGACCCCTCCCTCTCTCAAAATCACTAGAGAGCAGTTCTGAGGCTGATTTTTCAAGCATTCATTCATAAATCTGAGTACTATATTGGGAATCACAAAGTTTTTAGGGAAAGCAAAGAGAGACGCAAAACTGCAAATAGAAGAGCTGATATCCAAAGAAGCAGAACTGGGGCCGGAGAGATGGCTCAGTAGAATAAGCGCTTCCCTGGTAAGCACAAGGGTCTGAGATCAATCCCCAGTTCCGAAGAAGAAGAAGAAGAAGAACTAATCCAGGAAACAGAAGAGGACTTCAGAAGAATGATCGGCATTTTCAGAGAGATACAGAGGAGATTAAGAATGAAAGGAAATGCCACATATAATGTTTTAGAAATTAAAAATTTAGTAGTTGATCTGTTTAGCAGAGTAGGTACACTTGAGGAAAGAATGAATAATCTAGATGATCAAATGGAAGAAATACTTAAGGATACAATGAAAATGTCTCAACAGCTGATAAATAAAGAAAAGCTACAAGTCAAAGACAATAGATACAGAATCTCCAATATCTGTTTGATAGGCATTCTAGAAAAAGATACAAAAGAAAACAGAGCAGAGGATTTAAGGATAATAATGAAGAAAACTTTCAGAGCCACAGAAGCACTCCTTTTGAAGCTGTCAGTACTCATCAAACCCCAGCACAATCTGTGAAAGAAGACTCACTCCCAGACATGTGTTGGTGATGTTCTGGAGTTGCCGTGAGAAAGAAAATCCTGAGGGCTTCCTGAGAGAGAAATCGTCTCTGAGGAGACAAGAATCCTGCTAACAGCAGACTTTATTGCTGAGCATGCTGGATGCCACGAGTTGGTGGGATGATGTTGGTGGAGCCCTGCAGGAGGAAGGCTTCTGGCCCCAAATCCAGTATCCCGGCAGACTGAAGGAAAAGCAAAGACACTTTTAATTTTGATGAATTCAAGAGATTTATTTCTCTGTACCTTCACTGAAAGAATTACTAGAGGATATACTTTAGCAACTTAGGCTGGAGGCAACAAGTTACACAATGTGCTTTCTCCCCTACCAACACAATCCAAAAAGTCAATGAGTAAAGCACCCCATTTCTATCCAGAAGGGTGGTCAGCCAACAGCTCTTCCTGGCAATGCGAGAGGGGAACGCTATTACTTAGATGCTGCAAAAGGATGTATTTTATACAATATGAAGAGAAACCAGAGTATGGGATGTATTTTAAAGATGAGGATCAAGCCAGGTATGGTGACACATGACTGTAATCCTAGCACTTGGGAGTTTGAGGCCGGAGGATCACTGTAAGTTCAAGGACCCTATCTTAAAACAACAACCAGGGCTTGCTTCAGCAGCACATGTACTAAAACAACAACGAAACCCCTTTCCAACACCCCAACATGTTAATGAGGACCATCATAGCTTGCATAGGATTTTTTTTTAATGGGAAGGTGAACTCAGGGATTTTGCACTGAGTTATGTTTCCAGCCCTTTTAGTAGCTTTTTTGTTTTTTATTTTTTATGAGATAGGCCTCATTGGTTTGTCACGGTTGGTCTCAAACTCCTTTAGCTTCCTGAGTAGTTGGAGTCCCAGCCCAAGGGGATGGTGTGTCATCATTTGTCACTGTGGGAATCTTTACAAGAAAGCTTTATCATCTTAAAAAGAACGAGGAGGAGGAAGAGCAGGAGGAAAAGAAGGGGAAGGGGAAGGGGAGGGGTGAGGAGAAGAAGGAGGAGGAAGAGGAAGAGGAGGAGGAGGAGAAGGAGGAGGAGGAAGAGGAGAAGGAGAAGGAGAAGGAGAAGAAGAAGAAGAAGAAGAAGAAGAAGAAGAAGAAGAAGAAGAAGAAGAAGAAGAAGAAGAAGAAGAAGAAGAGGAAGAAGAAAGAAGAAGAAAGAAGAAAGAAGAAGAAGAAGAAGAAGAAGAAGAAGAAGAAGAAGAAGAAGAAGAAGAAGAAGAAGAAGAAGAAGAAGAA